GATAGATAGATAGATAGATAGATAGATAGATAGATAGATAGATAGATAGATAGATAGATAGATAGATAGATAGATAGATAGATAGATAGATAGATAGATAGATCTTTTTAAGCTCGACAATAACTTCATTCAAAATGTGACATTGTGAACTTCCCCAGTGAAAACCACAGACAGAAGCTCCCTGCCACCAGTTCATTATCTGTGGGGACAGTTGTTAACAGTTAGTGTTATCCAGTGTCTTCCTTTATTGTTTCCTCTCTGTATGCACTCGTAGTCTGCCCATAGAATCTCACAGCTGCATCGAGAGATACTAGAATTGTCCTTCCAGCCAGGTCCCAGTGAAACGAACAAATGTTGCCACTCTGTCCCCGTCAGCTCTCCAACAGAGCTGTCATCATAATCAGGAGAAGAAATCTGAAAACTTCCTCCTCCTTTCTCTCCCGTTGGTTCTTGCTTGGCTTCCTCGAAATCTCCTCTTCAATTAATCTAGATTTGGTGTCCCACTTGAGCTTCTGAGAACTCAGTCAACGGCTGCAGCATGCAGACGATTTCCGGTTGCCATGGTTAGGCATCATAACAGATGAAAAAAAAAAACCCAGAAGAAGTTGTTCCAGCCACAAAACATCCAAACCAGAGGATAGAAAGAGAGAAAAAAAACCATGCTACAGACAGAGCCATTGCATCACGCTGATTCCGGTGTGCCCCCGTTTTACAGCAGCAGTGAGGTACAGTTTCAGGTCGTAGCACGCCGCCCACGACAGAAGGCAAAGTAGGACACCTACATTAAAAGGAAGGTGCAGAATAGCACGACTGATGCTTGCAAAATACTTTGCAGATAAGCCATACCGAGGTCATAAGGAAGCCCATGAGGGAAAGGACAGATGAGTTGTTAATACACTGTGCTGCATCACCCTATGGTAAAACATGGTGGAAGTCTTATCATGCCGTGGGGTCACTATTTTGCCTCAGCCACTGCAGACATTTAGAAAAGATCAAATCAGAATTTTTGTAGTTACTGTGAACTGCTATTTCAAAAGCTGAACTCCTGCATGTGACATCTCAGGCTCATGAGACCATTTGGACTCGATATGTTGATTTAAAAAACAAAACATTTATGCTTGAGATCTATTTACTTATGGAAATACTTATGGTTTTCTAAAGGACCAACATGCAGCTCAGTTATTGTTTGAATGACATTTATATATATTTTTCATATAGCGGACAGATCATTCAAAGCAGCCAGTATTACATAAAAACCCAACAAAATACATGAAAGCGTAAAAACCACTTGGACTACTTTACCTCCTGCAGAGATATTAATTACCTTATTCCTTTACAGTCATTCCCTTATCAACTTTTAGTTGTCCTTCATGGCTGCAGCAGCTGTTTTGCATTTCAGCTCCACGAGTGGAACACAAGCGAGCATGTGTACTCGGAGGACATAAATAACACATCTCTGTCCTTATCTCACCAGAAGAGGACCGCAAAACCAACCCTCCAGCGTCACCAAGTGCTCTCCCTCCAGCTGAAGCTTCAGCCCCCGGTTCGGATCCAGACGCAGCCAGTGATGCACAGAAAGGCCCTGACGCAAGCCTCACTTCCAACGGCACCTTAAGCCTCAGCCTCAACACAGTCACAGAAAATAAAACCATGCCTTCACAGGGTGAGCGTACATGTCCAACTCCTTGTGTTTTCTCCTGGGTTTAGGTAGCCGCCATTTTTTTTTTTCAGGTGCTTGCGTTTGACAGGATGTCATTGCATGTTTCCGTCAGAGGTTTGGCAGTACGGAAGTCATATCACACTTGAGAGAAGAGGGAAGTTCGACGGCAGGCAGCCTAGAGTTATTTATCAAGCTGCTTTTCACAGTTTTCCACGTCCACACGTTGGTCACAGAACCAAAGACAGCCATGATACAAACAGGGGCTAATATTACAGGAGAAAACAGAGCAGGGCAGGGGGCTCGACGCACAACAGAGGTGTTGAAGTAGCAGAAGAAAACAGCGTGGAAGCTTTGCCTCCAGCTAATATGGTACCAACTACCTGGGGAACAGTGGCAAAGTTTACTTGGGAAAGAGCTGGCTAAGAATTGATTTAGGCGGTGTTGAAGAGAGGAAAGAAGTGATTAAATGCTGTGTGACTTTTCACAAGGAGGTGTGAGAGGTAGACGCGACTTCCTGACTGCAGTGTAATTCTGCCTCTCTGAATCCCAAACGCAAATAAAGATTCTCAAAAACTCCTTTAAAGGGCAGTATCACTCTGCTGAAGCCTGGTCATGACTGCAATGCCTGTCTTATGTAAAGCAGGGAAGTCATAGTCTATCCTCTTTCTTCAGAGGGTTAACATGCCAGTGTTTACCAAACTGTATAAAGCACACCATTTCACAACAGAGCCAAATGAGAATGCCAGTGAAACAGAATTACTTGAGGAAAAGACATTTTGATATGACAAATGTGCCCTTCCATTTTGGATGAATGGACCTTTTAGTACCTGATATATTCAGATATGTGCTTTAATGTAAAGATCTTTATTATTTCGTAACACATGTTTTTCTCTTTCAGCACCTGCTGATGTAGTTCCTGAAACTGGTCTTTCAGGCAAGGACGGGAACTCAACAGATCAAGAATCCCAACCTCCAGAGGTTCTCCCTGAGAGCCACTCCCCCACCTCTCCTGCCTCCCCTCCCCCTACCAATGCCAGCATCACTCAGGTGGCTCCCACCCTCCCTGCACATATAACACCCACCACAACTCCTTTTACGAATGCCAGCAACACGTCAAGCACGCACGCATCCACAGCAGCTGCTTCTGTTTCGCCCTCTCAACCCACAACAACAGCCTCTACATCTGCCCCAGCACCTGAACCACAAACGCCCCAAACCTCCCCCACGCCCGCCAGCACTCAGCCCAGTTCCACGTCCAGCGCCAGCTCATCTCAGAGCACCCCCGGTTCTAACCCACCGATACACACTTCTACGTCTAGCCGACAACACCAGAGTTCCACTGAAGCCCGGCTGAAGTCCACTACGATGGGCACCTCGGCCCAGGCCAAAACGCACGCCGACAGCCCCTCCCAGCTGAACGTGGGGGGTGACAGTAAGTGTATAATAAGTTCTGTGCTGGTGTATAAATTTGCTCCGTACTATTCATGGCCTGGATATTGACAGAAGCCAAAGTGAACTGGCTCGACAACAAAGGGAATGCTGTTCTTTGTTTTTCAGCACAAGTCAGTTCTTGCTTCTTCACACGCGGGCCCAACCCCCCCACCCCCCACCCCCACTTACATTGTCTACTAGCACTGTCACCACCAAGCTCTTTTACAATCATGTGTTTGTTTGTGAAAAGGGACAGAGGCAGTCATGGGACGTTCTCTTTGAGAATTCTGTTTTTCTATTTTTGCTTTCTGTGCTAAATGACGAATAGCCCTCCAGCTTCTCTTTCAAACTGGATGCAGAGTTTAGATCACATTTATCTGTCCTCTTCAGTAGTGCTACAGCTTCAAAATAAGTGCAAAAGAAAGGAAAGATTCTTTTTTTTCGTTCACTCCACCAGCCTGCTTGACTACTGTTAAACTTTTCTCTGCTTGTCTCCTTCTGTGTGGTTTTATTAGGAGCTTGGCACCTCGCCTTTTTCCATTAGCCAGAGGAACACGGAGCATTCGCTGCTATGTGGTTGATGTCAGTTTAAACCAGAGGGTATAAAAAAAAAAAGTCAGGTTTACCAAACAATTCTCCATAGCAACATCCACTTTTAAAAAAAAACCTCCTTCACAAAATATACAAACAGAAAGACAGAAAGGTCAGGATGTACTTAAAAAACTAAACGGAAATCTTAGTGGCACACTTTTCAGTATGCCTACTATTCATTGTTTGCATACAGCCACATAAACCAGGGAAAACCACTAGCTCTCTACACTACAGTTTGCAAGAGACATTCGTGTTGATGTGCTGTTTGGTGTTCACCGACCTTGTGTCCATTTTGCTCCAACATCTTCATTTTGATCATGTATGTCCAAAAGGGCATAGCTTCAGAGGTCTGTGGGGGGACCAGATTCAGCTTAGCTGGAAATTGTATTCCTTTTAGAAACAAGAAAAAATCTTTATTGCTTTATTTTGGTGTGAAGTCGAGAACTTTAACATTGAATTCTGAAGCACCTTAATATGTTATATGCACTCACTCAAATGGGACTTGAATTAGTCACAGGCACGTTTAACGTCACTGCCCTGTTTGACATTTCTGTCCTGAGCCGCTGCAACACTGTCTACACTTAGCAGAAGTCACAGCTCCAAACAACCGCCGCGGAGGCAGAATTTGCTCCATGTTAAGTCAAAGCGAGGGCCGTCCCGAGCGCCTTACTGTCAGCCTGTTTACTCGGGCCGCACGCGAGAGTGGCCCCCGCTGACGTGTCCGCCGTGTCTCTGTTCCAGCAGCGCAGGCCCGGGACTCTCCCCCATTAGACCCCCTCCTGGCTGGCTTGGTGTCGGCCTTCATCATCACCGCCGTCATCATCACTCTGCTCCTCTTCCTCAAGCTGCGCCGAAGAGACACTAGACCGGAGTTCCGCAGGCTCCAGGACCTACCCATGGTGAGCCCAGATTTAAGCACAGATGCCAAATACTCATCTGGTCTAAACGTAGCAATCTCTTTTTACTAGGCTCGACATTATTTGTCTGTCAGATATTAACAGATGCTTATTTTTCGGTTTTCTCATCCAAGTTTTCAGAAGAAATAAATACATAATAAGACATTAAAGTAGCTAATTTATTTATTATCCGTTGCAATGTTTTTAAATTGAGCTCCAATGACTGCATGGCTGCCTTCATATGTGTGAGAATAGTCATCGTTTGCCTAACTTCCTGTGCAGGATGACATGATGGAAGACACACCTCTGTCCATGTACAGCTACTGATGGAGGCCCCACTGAACTCTTTGTGCCAAAACACCCTCCTTCAATCCGGACTCAGGCTGGCGTGTTTGTTTAACCTCATCTCTTCTCCTTAATCTGTACCAAACCGAAAGAAGCCTGGGTAGGTGAATGCGCATTCCTGGATTCCACCACAATATTTGGCACATACACTGGGAGAAGACATCATTGAAACCACAGTGGACAACACCCATGATTAATCCCATTTGGGGAAAAAAAGAAGAAAAAAGGAAAATCTATTTTGGTGTGCGTTATGACCAATTGGGCTCCTGTTCAGCCATGCACACTTATTATTGTTCAGCCCATCGTTTCAGGTTGCATGTCATATGTCAGTTTACCGGGGACGATGACAGTTGGCATAAGCAGGAGATGCCATGAGCTGTCTCCAATTGTCAGAGCTCCTCATGCCCGGCTCTCACCTGAAGTGGCACTGGTCTTATTTCCCTTCATCAGTTCAAGTCAGGCGGACACAAAGGCCAGAGAGTCTGACTAAGTGGTGTGAGAAAATACAAAAAGCAAACATAGTGTTAACAAGGTTGCACTTTACATTTTTCAGGAGGAAGAAAAAAAAAGAAAGGAAAAGTATGTTTTTGTTTTGTAAGCAGAAAAATATAAATTTTGTTTGTGTACATAAGCAGCAGAAATGTGTGTGTTTGGAGGTGTGAATGTGTGTGAGTCTGTTCATTGCATCTGTATGACGTAATTGGGGCATGGCTGAATATTTAAATGTTTTTATTTGGTTTCACTGCCTTTAGACTTAACTTAGGTGTATTTTTCTCCCAGTTTTTTTCTGTCCTGCAGGCCTCAGTACAGGAGAGAGTGCCTTATAGCTCTTATTGAATTTTGTATTCACTGTAAATATGTGACATGAGCAAACTTCAGGATTTATCAGTCATTCCCAGAACTTTTTCGGTCCCATTGTGTTACACACTAAAGGACAGGATGCTGCGCTGACTTGTCAGTGCTTCAAAGCCTGGAGCATGTTCACCAGGAGGCACTCCTTTACACAATAACAGTTTCAGCCAAGTTTTCCACCTGCCCTTTGAGACAATGTTAGCATTGTCCTGGACATTAGAGAAAGCCACAATCTAAGCACCATGAGGGCCACAGCCAATTATTTGTGCGTTGATCTTTTTCTTACTGTACCGTTTGAATATAATAAATGTGTACAGGCCCGTGTTGTCCATTTCTTAAAAAGAACATTGAATTCCCTGTGAGGTATTGCTGCCATGTGTGATGTTGGTGATTTATGATTAAAGTTATTTTGAAATCTCCATCTGCCTTTTCTTTTATTTTGCTATACAAAACACCCACATAACTGCTCAGTGAACACATTGATAAACAGCTTTGCACAATAGTTGGCAGATGCCATGAAGTGGCAGCAAAAGGTTTTTCATATGTATGTAGACACACGCGCAAACACATCTTTCTGTTAGGACTTCATTTGTAATGCCGACTAAGCCGAGCCTCGGCAAGGAGAGTAGAGCTTGATAGGCTTGAGTAGGATGACATTTAGTTTTCTACAGACGAATAAGAAAACAAGCTTCACCACACAGACACACTGAGCGCCTGGCCGCCTGTCAGCGTCCTGTGGCTCTGCACTCAGTGTGTCTGACAGATCTGTTCTGAGGCAAAAATATTTGAAAGAGCAAAAGACATAACCTGGCTCACTGTGTCATCAAACAATTCAAGGACTCTCAACTGTCTGGTGTGGAGGTAGAAGTGGATGAGGAGCCATTAGGGCCTTGATAACGTTGAAAGTTTTCGATTCCATTTTGCCTTCGCTTCTGCTACATTGACGGGGGCCAAACATTCTACCTCATCAGATTCCTTATGGACTGAAGAGTGCTTCATGGGATGGTGAAGCAGCTATTAAACATCCATTATTCTGCACCACTGAGGAAAGTGGTCCAAGGACCTTTAAGGCTAAGAGTTACTCTGAGATTTCACTACGTATACATATTGTTAATCTGCTGTGTTTTAGAGGAGGCGTTCAATTAGAACGTACCAACCTGGGGTCTTCTTAAACACGAGGGAAGCAAAGCCGGGGCATTGTTTTGCGTCTTTATGGATGCCGCTGTGGCCACCAGTGAAGTCCTGCCCATTTCTCAACCACATCAAAGTTTTACCAAACTCCAACAACCTTTAATTGGTGCAAGCGTGGTTTTACTTTCGTCTTTCCCAAAATCAAACACTGTGGCTCAGCAATCACAGTGTTCCTGGCTGGAACTCTGTAAGGATCTGACGGGCAGGCAGAGGGTGCGGCAGCGATTAAAACATTATATATGCTCTGGGGCAGCTTACACAGAGACTTAATGCACCTTTGCCGGTACTAAGCCCGGCACCATGAAATGAGAGTAAGAAGCTTCCACAAAGAACTCTTTAAACAGCTGCTCTCCTCTTCAATCTGCTCTCACAGTCCAATCAGCCCGTGCATGTGGAGGCAGTTCCGACTTGCTGTTTAAAAAAAGGCTGCGGTGTCTGTCATCCCACACTGAAGCAGGTCTTGCTTGCTTTCTATAAACGGATATTTCACACACAAACACACATTCACAAAGGTGCCAGAGTTTGCCAGGGAAATTATTCAAAGCCAATTAAAAAGGAAAAAATACAAAAAAAACTAGTGTGACATTGTTTAATCTAAGCTTACTTAAACACTTCTGATACTTCAACAAAATACTGTTTAATTGCATTTAATCATTCTGGATAACAGTTAACCTAAAGCTAGAAGCTAAACATATGTGAGCAGGCCTTTTAGAAAGCAAGAAGAGGTTGCTTTGCCAAGTCTGTTGTTTGCCACCATTTGTTTTCTTTTCCCTTCCCATGGGACCACAAAGGAAGTGTGCCGTTTGTGTTAACTTCCCTACTTTTAGATTCTGATTCTGCATGTCAACTGTTTCTCAGTCTAAAAATATTTATAGTAGTTTTCATTCGAAACGGCGGAAATAGATGTCCTTTGGTGTCCTGACCTTCACAAGGAGTTGCTGTGTGTGTAGAAATCAGAGGTCATCAAGACTTAATTCTGATCCTGACTCTGGGTTCAAACGGTCATCCAGAAGATCGTCAGAGTCGTTGTCATCATCATCTTCCAGATCTGATGCTGGACCGGCAAAACTACTTGGTCTGGACTGAACGCTCAGATGTCTTCCTCTCTCTTGAATAGCTGGCCAACAGAGGAAGAAGCAGTTAATTTGTGTTTGGGAGAGACTGGGTGCCTTTTTGCTTTGCTATCATGGGGGATTAGGTTGGAAGGCGTTCAGATGTTTTCCCATAACAACTGTGTCCCATTATCCGTGTGTGTGGGTGTGTGTGTGTGTGAGAGGGAGAATGCAGTCTTCAAATCATCCCGGCTTCATTGGACCAAATCACCCTGGGAAACATTTAGAGCAGAGATTGTAATCTCTTCCGCGAACACCGACCTTCTGTTACTGTAATTCTCAGGGGTGTGCGGAGCACAAGCTCACACAGACACACACAACCAGCACCAAATTTTCCAAGAAATCGTTGGCTTTGCAGAGACTGCTGGAGAGGAAATGAGAGCTTTTGTGCTTTATCTGCCAAAGGAGGAATGCAGCAGGACCGCAAACCTGCTCCTGTGATGCTGTGCATCGACAGCGGCGTCCTCACTTTTATCTGATTTTCCGAAATTGGCTTTTTCTTTCGAAAGTCTTTAAGTTGTTTATTTATTAGCATCTATCCCCTTCTCTCACCACGGGACTCTTTTCTGAGATATTTACTGGAATGTTTTTGGTATTTTCAGAGCATACTTACAAGCTTCTTGTAAGGAGTGAGGTGAGAAAAATCAAGAATTAAACAAACATCCATTAGTGTTAGCTAACAAAAATTGGAAATTGGGAATGAACTAGGCTCTCTTATGTTCAATTCACAATAAAACTTTTTTTTTAAAGTTGTAAATGGACTTTTGGTCTTTTGTGGTGTAATGTGCGATTTCATTTATTGAAAAGATGGAATGGTGGCTGCCAAGTAACCCAAAACACAGTCCGAGGCAGATGCTCAAGTATCAAGCCTCTCATCGCCAAGAAGCCATGCAAAAAACCACAATCTTTTTAATAGACTACATAAACCATTTTTGTCCCCACTTTTGTGTCCTTTCAGTTTGTGTCAGGGGAGCTTAAGGTTTCATGCACTGCTTCTGTATTTGGCCTAATTTCAGCTTAGTTGAATCAGAGTGGCTGTTGAGCCGGGTGTGTGTAGGAGGCATGGTGGGGGGTAGTGGAGAGTATAGAGTATGTGCATGTCTCATCTTGCTTGAACCGTCATCAGTGTGTGCCCATCTGGCATTTTGCGTGAGGTTCTTCTGAGCTGGGATCTCATTGTCAGAGCATGTTTGGATATTTTTACATGAAGGTGGACAGATTGCGTGTGAGAGTGCTAAAATCTAAGTACGTGGCCTTGATGAGTCAGCCCACTGTGCTCAGGAGCTCTAATCCAGAAAACATAACTTCATACCGGGGTTTTTGTCCTCCAACCATGACAGGTCATCGGAGCTGATCTCAGCGAGGCTTAGGGTTGGGCTAAAATCTTCAGAGTCAGAGCCTGCCTCTTCAGTTCTGACGCCTCTCCTCTGGATTTGAGGGGCTGGAAGGGCTGAGGCCTCTGAGTCCGAACAGAAGAAATGATCAATGATTTACCACGGTGAGGACGACAGAGCCAGACAAGGAGAACACTTACCCAGTGTGTGCGGTGACAGTATATGTGCTGGTTCGTGTCCTCTAAGAATGAGACTCCTCACCTCATCCTTCAGCTCTGACATGGTGGTCCTGTTGTGGTGGTTGACAGTAACACACATCAGACACTGAGAGGCAAACCCTTTGCACTCACGCATACACAAACACACACCTGATCTGACGGACTTCTTGCTGAGTGTGAGAATACTGGGAGATGGTTTTAATCAGGTCAGTGCTGTGAGTCCTGTAGCTGTCTGTCAGATCCTCCAGTGTCTGTGCAAAGCACATTTGAGAACCGTCAAATATCCGAGAAGAATACAGACAACAAACCATTCAGTCTTGCAAACTTACTGGTACCTTACAACTGCGTTCATACTGTCTTCTGGTCTCCCTGGACTCTGTCTGCTGGAGGAAGATGTCCTCCTCTTGTCTCCCTTTCATGAGGGACAGAGAGGGCAGGTGTTGTTACTGGGACTGTTATTGTCTCTGCCTGACAAGCCAAGCTTGGTCATGTTAAATCAATACACTGGGACGGGACTTGGGTGTTTGCTACTCACTTAGCCGTGTTTTCAGTTGGTCCAACTCTCTCCTCAGGTTTCCTAGCTCCTCCCGCCGGAGTTTCGAGCTGAAACTGAGAAAACACGTGGAAAACTTGCGGCCCTGTGCGTGTAAACTGCGCCAGTGTCCGCATGAACTCACCTCTCTTCCAGGCTGCCATGAGATGTGACTTGGGTGATGTGTCCCCGCAGGCTGCTCAGTTCACGGCCAACTTCTTTTCTCCACTGCTCCATCCTTCTCTCCACTCCTGGACTTTGAGCCCTAATAACCAGGTCCTCCCTCTTTCTCTCCCTGTCTATAAACTCCTCACGCAGCTGGTAAATCTCATCTGGAAGACAAAGCAGTGATTACAGCTAACAAGGGCATTTCTTTATTTTAGCAGCTTTGTTGACCAATCAGAAGTCACAATGAGGCCCCATTAGAAGGTAAAAAAAGTAAATTAACTTTGATCTAAATAAATTAGTCCATCAAATTTAATATTTAATATTTCCTCCAAGTTCTCTCATAACTGTTGAGGCTCCACTAAATTGAGACCATATTTTCCAGTAAATCCACTTGCTTCCTGTTGCTGCGAGATATTCAGCAACTGGTTTCATTTTCCAGCATCTCCCCTTAGACAAGCTGAGTGAGAATAAAAGCATGCAGTGGATCGAAATGACTTTGACTCTCAAAAACAAGAGTCATCAAGTAATGGTAATGCAAACATTAATGGTACCAATACATTTAGGATGATATCACCACTAAGTGTATGACTTTCTTCAACACATTAAACCGTGACTCCACGTGCATCTCTAAAGACCACGAGTGATCCAACTTCCTTGGTTTTTGTGCCACTAAACAAGAAGTCTGCATCCTAAAGGCATCTGGCATAAAAATACTTCACTCATTGATGTCAACACGTTGCAAATTTCAAAAGATCACTTAATGACTGAAAAAACTTGTGTTCGGGTCATGTTCCAGACTCACACTGATTGCACTGTTCTGACAACAACTTTAGTGATGTAACAGATCCAGTATGTGACAAGAAAAGGAACTTTGTGAAATAATTGACTTGTGAGATGCAAAAGCTCTGTGTAACTGGTGACTGGGCACCAGCAGACTTACTCTGTTTGCCATTTTTATTCTCAGTGCAGAATTGTGAAGAAAAGCATGAACACAGGAAACTACGGCGACAACTGTAAGGTTAAGATTACAGTCTTGAATTCACGTGCATGTGAAATTTGATCCCCGTGAAAGGTTGAAGACCAGATATGACCCACATTAAAGTTCAACTCAACTTATATGACTAACCCTTGATCACAAGTTCAAAGCTTTGGAACAATTCTAACAGCCGCTTTGTTAACATCCACCACAGACACACAGATAAAAGGCAAGTTGATTAATCTGAGAGACAGTATCGATATGATTGGATTCAGGCAAAAAACAAACAAACCAGAACCTCTGCTGCAGTTAGACACATGAACATTTGGATTCGACTAACCAACTTCTTCATAAGGTGAAACTAATGCTACATATATGCACAAAGTATGAGTCAGTTCAAGCTGACTCTGTGAATCTATTTCAGTATCATAACCTTTTAACTTAAATGGGGTGCAACTACATTTAATATATACCAAATCTTTCCATTCCTCCAGTTACAATGAATGTGGGTCACATGTTGACAGATTACCTTGTAGAGTCTGAATGAGACATTGCTGAGATTTTTTCTCCCTTTCCATATCATGGAGTTTCTGTGTGAGTGACTCGATTGCCTTAAGAAGACATGGAGAGAAGAACATTTCAATTATGGCAGTTCTAAAATGTTTTAAAAATTACTTTAAAGTGCATGTGTGCACTGTAAATTGGTCCTCACTGTTAAATGAGAACACACCTGGCTCTGTATCTGGAGTTGTGACTGGATAGAAGCCAGGTCTGCCCACTGCACTCTGGGGCTGAGAGATGAGGAAGGCTGCCGGTTATGGGGGACTCGAGGGGGAAAAGCTGGAGGGTCCAAATGCGAATCAAGAACCCTCTCCCTTACTGGAAACAAATCTGGACATGCATTACATAAAATGACTGTAAATTATACTGTCAAGTCTAGTGAGATGTGCTCTACTAGTTTAAATAAACAATTTGGGGTAATTTCCAATTTTAGTCAAACAAAGAATTCAAACCCACCTTCACTTCCTTTGGAGAATTTCCCATGTGAAGTCAGTCTTTCCTGTTGACACAAATAACAACAAGGGTATTCCCAAACTCTCATTTTCTTTACACCATCTGAGTGTTGAAGCCTAATGAAGCATTGCTGCCATCTACAGATTGCCACAATACTGACAAGTTACAATGAACCACAGGAAGAAAGGCAGGATCAGTTTTTGAGTTAGCTGTGTTCCCTGAAAAGTTACTAAAATAAACTGAAATAAATAAAGATTGACAGGGCTAATATAGCTATAAATGATAGGATAACACATTCTAACACTGCATGCATGTTGAGCTCCCTCACCCGCATCTTCGCGACGCTGCCATCTGCTACTGAGAGGATGGAGCTCAGCTGATTGTCCCAGTTCATCTTCGAGCTGAACGAGAAGATCACACATCTCGTAAAGTTGCCAAATGCATAATCGATTACCGTTTCACTAAAAGTTACTGATTAATGCCAAATCTTTAAATCCTGTGCGACTATACAAGGGCGTGGCTTTTTTTTTTAAAGGCAGTTGTAAGATGACAGTAATTTAAGCCGGTGGTTGGTTGGCGAGGCAACAGCAGTTAAGATTTCTGACACTATGAGGGAGATTATATTACAGCAAGTCAACGCATGCTGATGTAGCGAGTTCCAGCTGTTACCCGGATGTACTATCTAACGATGTAATGGACCTTTATATGTGATATGTACACCAGTAAGAAATTCCTTAGAGCATTTTGAAATAGAGACGATTCAGATTCTTTGCTCCCCCGCTTAAAAAAAAAAGGTTTGAAAGCATCTGACAAAGCCTGCTATCAGCCAAAACAATACATATCAACTTACAGTTACAGTCATAATATCTAACAGTCTATTAAGTGTGACGATTTTAGAGTGCTGTTTAACCAAGCTAACACCAATTAGCAGACAGTTACGGGCGACCTTCTCATCGTTTTTAAACGATTCTGTTATCTGACAGAAAGAATATACACAACGAATTAAGAGGAATGTCAAAATGCTTGCTTTCGGTTGAAATACATAGACATTTTCTTTTCTTCTTTTAATGTGAAACACGTATTTCTGAATGCTAGCTAATTAAGCTACTCACAGAAAACCTCGCGACTTTAATTTTAAATCCAGCACCCCACAACAACTACGCGATTGCGTATTACGTAACAACAGGTGGCTTCTGGGTAATGCTGTCCTAGATTTATTCTAAGAAAAAGAACAAGACGAAAAAAAATTGCAATACAAACCTTACGTAGCATGTATAACACTTACTATTAAAGAAAGTAGATTATCCCACTTGAATAATTGCAGACTTAGCCAGGACCTAACTAAAATCCAAACTTCAAATGAACACCGGCCACCGTATCCCAGAATTCAAAGCTGCATATTGACATTCAACAATGGCGGCCCCCGATGATACTATGAACTTAGTTACAGGACTATTAAAGAAGTGTTTGGCTAACTCGGGTTTTGAAGTGTACCCCCTTAAGGTATAGTAGCATAATTTTTCAATGTCCAGTTCCGTTTGTAAATGCAATTTTAACTGATGTGTTGAATCAACCAATGGAGAGTTAAATATGCAATTTACTGTACATATATTGTTACGTATGCCCTAAAGTTAACAATATATATTCAAGCTTCAATGTAATGTGGGTATTCCCGTGTCCCCGGAGCGCCTTTCTTCCTCCATTGCTTGCTGTTAACAGGTTGTCCCATCATGTTTGCAGGTTGGTTGGTATAATTCTGTGCTGCCCCCCTCCCTGCACCTGCCTTACCAGGATGACAGCTTGGCCGTGGTGGTGCTTAGCACCCCTTCTATGTTTGAACAGGCTTTTCTGCCCTTCCTGGAGGAGAGGGGCTGCCAGAAACTGTCTGACCCCATAGACCAGTGTGTCAGACGCTGTATCACCTCCGCTGTCTCAGAGGTGAGGGCAGGCAGACGTGTGTGACAGAGGGTTAGACGGACAGAAATAACTTTGTTGGGTTGGCCGGGGGCTGATCATATTAATTCGATGTAACAGAGGCTACTGCACAAGGCGTACCGAGGAGGAAGCTAACAGCGGATGTCAGACTCACATGGCCCTTAACTTCTGTGTTAAATCAGTGTAAATGATAATTTGATCTGCCGAGGTCCTGTCGGATCAGATTGGGATGTTTACCTTAAACATTTGAGGCCTATGAAGCCATGGAATGAGTATCAGATCTCTTAGGGTCTTGGGGTTTATATCATTGTGTTAGCAAACAGGTCTGAGAAATCCAGGGCACCCTTGACAGCGCCTAAATATTTGCTTCACCTTTTCTTCACCCCAGTGTTTTCCCGAACAGAAGGTGGATGTAAGGTACGACTATGAGCTGCTGCCCAACAGGAAGCCAAAGTTCTTGGCCCAGACAGCTGCACACGTGTCAGGGGCAGCGTTCTACTATCAACAGTCTGATGTCACAGACCAGCCCTGGGCAGAAAAAGTAATGTTGCTCGTTTTTTGCTGGGTTGACCCTGATGCCTTTCACATCCTGTCTGCAGACTTTAGTTTTATGCATATGTTTTCTCACAGAAAATGTTTGGAGTGTGCATCCATCCTAAGTTCGGAGGCTGGTTTGCGATCAGAGCCCTGCTGGTGTTCGGTGACGTGATGGTGGGGTCCGAGCTGCTGCAGCCTGATCCTGCTGACTGTGTGTCGTCCAGAGAGGACAGGATAAAGCTTTTGGAGGCGTTTAACTTTCGCTGGCAGGTGCGGCACCTATGCTTTTTCAGCTGCAAATCATCTTCTTCCAAACATCCACTGATAGCCTTTAGTTAAAACGTTAACCATGAGACTGATGTTTGATTGACCCTGTCTTCTGGGTGTCAGGGGTGAGAAGTCAGTTCGGCCTCTTTCATGAGGACAAAACACGGTGATGCACAGAATAGGAATGCGTTTGTCCTCATTAGTTTAAACATAGGGACAAGATGGTTCTTTTTTCAAATTCATTCATCAAATGAATTAAATGACTAATTTAAGGATGCAAAAGGCACATGTTGGTATTTATATTCGTGCACAACATACAAAGAAAGAACAGGTGCCACTAGGGTTTTTTTTTACACATTACTGCATTTTCAGTTAGTTGTCTATTGCCTAAATCTATTTTAAGTCTTTGACACCACCTGTTTAAGTCTTACATTTTTCCATATATTTTGCCTTACTAGGACTGGAGCTACAGAGACATTGTCCTTCCAGTCCAGACCTATTCTCAAAAACAGAGAGACTACTTCTCCACTCCCCCTGCTCAGCGCTTTGCTTTGCTCAGTACCTGGGGCTTCCTGCCCAGTGAAGATGAACAGCCCGAACCCGCCTCAGAAGCACTCATAGAACAGGTGAATGGCCATGGCTGACAAAGAGGAACTGAGAGGCTGAAGTGCTGTCTGTCCATTCTGAGCTGTGGCCTTCATCATTTGACCTGGAAACAGATGCACCCGGGAACAGTTTAGGTCAAAGGGATTTTAAGCCAATGGCTGCTGTGATCTGTTTCATTACAGATTTCATTGTTTGGTAAATGGCTTTAAAAATTCCCATCTCTGCGTCAGATAGTGGTTGACAAAGACGTTTTACTGGATGTTTTTTTGACTGGTGATCCGAGAGGTGATCAAAGCCGATTTCAAAGCCACAAATGGACGAACGGGAATGCGTTTAATTTAACTTGATAACTTGGACATCCAATAACATGGTTCAATAAGGAACACTATTTAAAATGTTATTTCTGAATTATTTTGGTATGTCAATTTTTGTGAATGAAAGAGAATTGGATAATTTAATTTGGGCAGGCGGGCCAGTGGAATTCCATTAATGGCTCTAGCAGTAATAAAACTTCAATATTTCTTTCTGATGTGTCCTTTTTTTTTTACACGTTTAACCTCTAAATTGCTTTAGAAACCCACTGATTCATCCCTCTCCTGTATTTATTCTTTCTCTCATGTCAATTTGGGTTTAGCTAACACTTTTCTCAATGAATTATAGATGCAAGCTCCCCCCCCAGCATGGTGACAGACTGACTTCTCTCAGCTGTGACTAACTGCTGTGGAGTGCGCCAAAGGTTTTAGTGTGCGAACGCTCTGCAGCAACAGCCTGGAGCGGGGTGTTTTCAGACCCTGGCCACTGGGTGTCACCGGTGCTCTGTCTCCGCCAGGCCCGCAGCTCTGTGGATGGTGCGGGCTGGGGGCTTTTGCTGCTGTTTCGAGGCATCTGCAAGCTTTTAGAGCTTGATGGAGTCCAGCAGTGACTGCAGGAAACCTGCCTCACACTCTGAAGTAAAGTGTTTCAACACTACTGCTGCTCAGTGAACGTGTCACTGTACAGCCTTGAAGTGACAACTTTGACTTTTTCCCCATTCAAAACTGCTTTATTGTCACGTTTAGTTTCCCTCGCAACACCCCGTCCCTCTGTCTCTTATCGCGTCCTTCTCTGCATCCCCCCCTCACTCTCCAGTTTTCTGTCTATGTGCGTACTGAATCAGCATTTTCAGAGCAGTGTGCCGCAGGCCTGCAGAGAGCCAGACCATGGACTTAATTATATTCCCACTGATACTGGATCTCCCCCTCCTCTGTTGCCCCAGCCCACACCTTTCCCCCTCTTCTTTCTCTCCTCACTTTTTGTCTTTTTATTGGACACAAAAAGCTGCAGTTTGATTCTCAGCCAAGCACAAATTTTTCAGGAAAATATGACACGATGCACTCGTGTAACCTTTTGCTTTCAGATCTGAAATTTGTTCCTGAAAATGCTGTCGCAGGCACATGAAGTTTTAGGTGAAACAATCTGTGAAAACTTGACAGTACGCATTTAACGCTACATTTGAGGCATAGTTAAAAAAATTTCACCAGCAATTAAAAAAAATAAAACAACCAAATCAAACATTTATTGTAAAACTAGGTAACAAGAACAGAGCAGGCCAAGAACCTTAAATCCCCTTGTTTGTCTTTTTTGTCTTTTGTTTTATATGGTATTTATTTAAAGGAAGGTGCTGAGTATTCTGTTTCTGTGAAGCCAAGTTTCTCATATAGGCTTCAGGGCTTGCAGAGCCTGCTGTAGTAATGCAGATTTACAAGCTGATGTGCCCCACTCACTGCAGATGCCAAACATATCTAATAGGGGAACACTGAGGTGCATGTTCAAGATTAAACTATAAGAAAAGTGGACTCCGCTTGGAAAACTGAAGGGAAAGGAGATGCAGTTTCTCTTTGTGTTGTCTGACTCCATGACAGTTCAAGTTACTGCAAATGAAGCTGCTCTGCTAAACCTGTATGATTTAGTTTGTGATTAGAAAAACTCTCAAATCTGCCATCTTTATTGTTTTTGTAAGCAATGCATCATCCAAGGGTTTTCGGAACTGAGGCCCCCCACTATAAAGGTTTGTAAATCCAGCCTAACATAATGCAATGTTGGTGGTTAAAGTTGGGCTCTCCGTCTTAAAAACTGAAATGGAAATAGATTAATCAATGAAAGGGGAACAGAAAAGGGAAGCAATTGCATGCTTGCAAGCTGCAAGTTTTCGACAGGGAAAAAAAAAAGAGAAGTCTTGCAAAAAGATGAGTTGTGTTTCATGGGTGGAGGATCAGTGAAGCAGCACTATCCGCCCACAGACATCAGCTAACAAGAGGAGAAGGGAAAGACCCGCAGCACACTGCAACAGAGAAGCCGGGACCTAAGTGGGGGAGGAAACTGTGTAAAGTAAGATGTGAAGCTGAATAGTAATAATACTATTAGGTCTTGATTATTAAAGAGCAAATGGAGACTCAGTTTTGGAATATCACAGGCTTTTTAGAAACAGTGAGGAGATTAATAATAACTCTCACTGCTTACTCTGACAAAATAGTCTCACACTCTCACAATCCACTCCTGTTCACTGTGTACATGTGTGTTTCCAGAGGTTTTAAAATTTGAAAGCCTTTTTCTTATCAGTTTGGTGGATTAGCATATTTAACTAGTCCTCTGCCTCAGGGCTCCTTCCGCAGCCAATCGGTTGCTGGTTGTGGCGTCAGAGCTCAATGGATGAGAAGAAGGAAAGTTCAGTTATCGCAATGAATGAGTCAAGAAACGCACACAATGATATAATAACCCCCTCCTCCCTCTTTATCACAAACACCCAAGGCATGTTTTAACAAAGAAATGTTGTCTTTGCTTTAATAATACAGCTCCCATCCAAAAACACTGACACTGATCATGACATGTACAGCATAGTTAGTTGGGCGGATGGACCCCGATTGGGTCACTTAGGCCACATTTAAATAGAAAACTCTTTCACTTGGAAAAATGAGCCCCTCTTCTGTGAAAGGCAATGATAAGAGCTCTCTGTTTTTATTGTAATGGAAAATGCTGCCATTAGTATCACTAGGGAGATGAAAACTATCCCAAAATGTAGGGGCATAATTCCAAATGATGCTTTTGCCACATTCAAAACTAAGAACACAGCAGTAATGGAGGGGTGATGATTTTGGTTTGTTTTTCCACCTAAGAATTGGACACCTTGCAGTCTCTGCTGGTTAACCATGATCTGCTCTGTATAGTATTTTAGACTCCCATATGATGTGATCGGTCTGACAACTTGGTTAAACTTGTTTGAAACTGAGTTTTTTTTCCCAAAAAAAACTGCCTGTTTTAAAAAAGTTTTTAATGTGCAAAATTGAATGAACTGCTATATTAATTATACTGTATTTGACCAAAGATGTCAAAACAGCCTTGAGAAGCAACAACAATAATCTGATACTCCATCACCTCCAGCGTAACCCAATCATCACGGAACAGGACAGCTGTCAGACAGGAGAGGATCAGCGTGAGCTAAGGATCTCTTTACGTAATTCGCCGTTTTAGATTAACTTTGTTCCACTGAGAATGTGATATATTTATAAACCACTAAGGAGAAGTGCAGCCACACGGGAGGTTAACACCGAGGTAGGTTAACCATTTCTGACGGGAAAGGCTCAGAGAATCTACGAGGACATTAGGGGTTACCCACTGTTGGTGTATTAGCTTTAATGGCAACCTCAACAACTTTGGGTCAAGAATAGTCATTTTGATTTCTGGAACAGCAGCACAAACGTGGAAAGAAGAAATATATACTGCAATCAAAGACAAATGAGCTATCATGAAAAACATCTACAGCTGGGAACAAACAAGTCGGGACCAAAGCAAAATCTTGATTGCATTGAAATGGAAGAAGAAACAATAAATCACGCAATGAGTGTGATATAATCCTTTATAGTCACTTTAATATTACATTTCAAAAAGGTGAAAATCTTTTTTTATAACCCTGCTTTAATGTGAGAATTCTTTTTAATTGCTAACTTAATTTAAAAACATTATTGACAATGCTTCTGTCCACACCAAATAACACTCATTCATTCATACATTTGTTTAGTACAAATGTTTGAATTGTTCAAATATGCTTAAGCTTGAAGTATAATATGTGCATATTATTCTTTTCCTTCAGTCCAAGACTGATATTATACACATAAACAATTGTCAGTTTTATGAGATAGTTAAACCACAGAATGTTCTTTAAAATATACCATTAATGTGAAACTGATTAACTGCTAGGAATGCGGTACAGCACTCATAATGGGTTGATGTTTAGCTGTAGAAAGGATGGAGCTTCCCATTCCTTCCTGCTTCCCACTGAAAACCTGCACCGAGTTTCATCCCTCGCATGCCTCAAAACATCCAGAGAGTAAATTTACAGCCACACATCAAGCGTTACATCCCAGATGCCGGTGAACTCTAAATCTGCCACTTACATGAGATTAACCTCTCACTGCTCCTTTCCCCACAGGAAACGGCAAAGACTGGAACAGCAAAGCTGGAAGGCTTGTTGATTGCTTGTTGCTGGGCACTGAAGGGTACTCCTGCTCGACCTAACCCACAAATAAGTGAAGTTTGGTCTGAGAAATGATTCAGGATAGTCAAGGAGGGTGTTTTTCAGCATGCAGATGGGGAGCTTTGCATGATGTTATTCTCCTAGAAAAAAATAAGTCAGTGTGAGCACTGCTGGGCGACTGCATCCTCTGAGTTCCACTGTGCACACGCGTGTCAGCCTGCAGGGAGTAAACCATGATGAAGCACAAAGTCTGGCTAAAAGCATGAGATGATAAATGTGTGCATGTTTATGCATGTGTGGCACCCTCTAACACCATCATGCTTCACTCCATGTTTTACTTCCTGCATTATCGCCATTTGCTGCAGGCATAGAAAGTACTAAATGCATACTGTCAAGACGTTGCATATTGTGTATGTGTGTCATGTATATGCACTTTAAGAAAAATGCCCTTCTGGAAAGCGACATAAGCATTGTATCGCACCACAGATCGATAAAGTCTAAACACCTGCTGATCCACATGATGAGGAATGCCACAAATGCTGAGCTGGGTGTTGCTCCTGATCAACGTTTGACCCATCAGTCAAACAAAAGGGGTGAGGACAGTTTAGGGCGAGTGAGAAAGTGAGCACTGCACGGTAAAATATCTCTGGTAATGAAGATGGACACAGGTCAAACCTCAACCATGGCAAATGCTAAAATATTCAGGGGCTGGTGTGGAACTTCATCTGTGCACACTGAGGCGGCATAGAGAGGCTGCGGGCTTGGCTTTCAAACCGTGGAGCGCTCAGAGCACCTGCCTTCTGACATTCAGCATCAGTAAGTGTAATGGGAGAGCACATGAATTCATTAGGCTCAGATTGACCCGCTATGATGAGCAATTTAGTCTCAAACACTGTTAGGCACCTGCGGGAGAGAGAAAATTAGCATTTTAAATAGGGACGATTATAGGCCAGGCCACTGCATGTGGGGAGTGCATGTGTGTATTCGTTTTCATCAAGACACACAGACACCTCTCTACT